TCACATCCACTCTATAAGTTTTTACCTGTTTTTTATCAACCTGCATGAGTTACTAGAAGTTCTTTGACCCTCAATTCAACGATATTTGATGCAAGTCGATCGACTACTTCTCAGTTCTCTAGATGCTTTTTTGCTATTTGTAGGCTTTGGAATAATTTGCCATCAGGGACTGTAACTTCGACTTTTGATGTTTAAAAGATCAGCTTAGTATGTATTTACCACGTAAATGGGCAATGATTTTCTTTTCTTTCTTCCTTTCTTATCTGTATTTAAACCTGCACTGACACCATTGATGGTGTAATTATTATTTTTTTCCAGTGCATCTCTTTATATGGCTCACCATACTACTACTACCCCTACTAACTTCTACCACTACTAACAGAGTCCCAGCGGATTAACCCCGCCGTGCCTGGCCCTGTCCGGAGTGCAAAGCGACCGCCTCTTGTAAACAAACTCGGTCGAAACTCCGGACTCCGTAAGATGAGCAGCATTTGTCTGAATGAGATATTTGCGTGTTTTCTCCTGTCAGTGCTCTACGTAGGAAGCTTGTACGTTTGGAATGCTACTCAGGGAAGGTAAGAAGTAGTTCGGGTTGTCTGTTTTGAGGTCTTTTTCTTTCTGGTGACGTCTTTTTTTTCTTTTTTTTTTTTTTCTCCATCATTTACGTTTGTGATTTTTTTTTTTTTTTCAGTTGTATGTTTTAGGTGTCGTTTGTATTCAATACTTTTATGGTTGTGATTTTTAATTTTTTTAGTTGTATGTTTTAGGTGTTGTTTCTATTAATTACTTTTATGGTTGTGATTTTTTTTTTTAGTTGTGTTTTAAGTGTTGTTTCTATTCATTACTTTTATGGTTGTTAATCTTGCTTTTACATAGATTTTTTTTGTTTACGTCATATAAACTTTATAACAGCTTCTTTATGTATATAAACGAAAATAATGCAGACAGATCAAATACATGCACCATATTGTTGGCAAATTTGGTGATAGAAGACAGTGTGCAAAAATTCTGTAAAAACAGTTGATTGTATTGTAGTTTTGGCAAATAGAATATGTAATTGTCAGATCATTGAAATATAGAGCATTTTGATTTTGTGGTATGACTTTTACAAGTTGAGATTAATTTTAATTTAAGTAATAGCATTGCCTTACTATCCGTTAGGGTTAGTGGATCTATTGAATTTTTATTTTTTGGGGGGGAGGAAGGAATGTGACATGACAAGTGACATGATTTTGGCTGTTGCCAGATGTGGATTTTTTTATTATTATTATTATAAAAAGGTACAAGAGGTAATAGTCATTCATGGGACCTACAAAGGTACAGATAATTAATGTAACTTCTTATAAGGAAACTGTAATAACATTACCGTGTAAATTAATCATTGAGGTGAAGGATTATGACATAGATATTAAGAAAGAGTCCCAGAAGTTACTCCATTGGCCTTCATTCTTCCTTATAGGCCCGCAAATCTCTACTATGCTTATTATAGTACGAAAGACTTATCAAGTGATTTACCATCAAATAACATGAGATCCATTCTGCTTGAATATATATGGTGGAGCTTTGTTGGCCTTTGTCAGCCCATGCCGTCACTTTATGCAATCCTATTTAGGATAATTGCCGTCATATGTCCATTAGTAAAACTCAGCTGTCTGGTGTATTGTGTGCATAACTAGTGTCTTGAGAGAGAGTGAGAGTGAGAATGCGAATGTGAATGCGAGTGCAAGCGTGAGTGCGAGTGTGTGAATGTGAATGCGAATAAAAGGGATGAGCATGAGTATGAGTTTGAGAGTGAGAATGAGAGAGAGAGAAATTGTGTGTGTGTGTGTGTGTGTGCGTGTGTGTGCGTGTGTGTGCGTGTGTGTGCGTGTGTGTGCGTGTGTGTGCGTGTGTGTGTGTGTGTGTGTGCATGTTTGTGTTTCTCTTTGTGTGTGTTTGTGTAAGTGCAGGCAATTTGATTGAGAAGCAGGGTGAATGGAGCAGATAATAAATAGAATTGCAACCATTTAACTTTCTGATATTTTTAACCCATTTGCCCCAGATTTATGTTCTGTCCCCTGTTGTTTTTGGTGAATTTTGTTACATACAGATGGCTCCACATGTGCTCAGCCGGCAAGGAGTTTATCAGTAGGCCCTAGTTACCGACCCTGATTTTCCCATTCATTGAATTGGCGGGAAAATTAATACCATTCCTATCGATACTGGTATTTTTGTTATTGATGTTATGATTATTAAATTGTCATTAGAATATTTTAGACAATGAAATGATACAAGAAACCCTTTCCTAAAGTGAAGGAAAAGGGTATACAGGTGAAATAGGTAGTTCTTGATAACTGGCTATTTGGTGATTAAGAACTTGTGGAGCCATCTATGTGTAAATACAATGAATAAACGTATATCAAAGTGGGCATAGCATCTATTCTTGCCATGTGGGGCAAAGGGGATAACTTACTTTTAGTGGCTGATATTAGTTATCAGGGAAAATATTTGTGAAATACCA